GCCAGAGCTGTTGACCTTGGCAATGACACCCTTCTTCACCGTCTCCCAAATTTGCGGCACACCAACCAGGGCCGTCGGCCGGAACTCGCGCATGTCACCAGCGCAGTTCTTGACCGACGTATCGGAAAGCGTTCTTGGGTTACCATAACCAAGGGTGCCACCCACGAACAAGACGAGGTTTTCCAGGACAAGTTCAAAGATGTGGGCCAAGGGCAGGTATGCCAGGACATATTCCTTGTTGCTGACACACTCTTCGACGCAGGTCCAGAGACCAGTAACTGAGCGTAACACTTAGCATCTGCAGCACATTTGGGCTCACGGAAGATGACTTACTTGCTGCCACGGTTCCAGCGTGAGTCATGGGCACACCTTTCGGCGGACCCGTGGAACCAGAAGTGTACATGATGCAGAACAAGTCCTCAGGCTTTGCCTCTACGGTCTCAACGGGGTTCTCCTCGCCCAATGCGCGCACCTCCTCGATACTAACAAGTTTGATATCGGGGTTGGCCTTTCTGAAGGCGTCGACTTCAGTGCCATCGGAAAAGAGGGAGCTGTTGTTGTAAATGACAAACTTGACATTCTCGGCCTTCTTCAGAGCCCCGCTTGCTGTCTTGAGGAGTTGAGGGTCGAGGTACATAGCATCGGCATTGGACTGGAGCAGCGAGTGCTCGACGCCGCTGGCGCCGAGGGTATCGTAAGCGGTGACAATAGAGATGGACTGCGAACCGCAGGCGTGGGACATGGCCATCCAGTTTGCGCTAGATTCCAAAAGGTTGGGTTAGCTTCTTCTCGGCAGGCCCAGACTCGGGGGGGGTTCGAGGGCGGAGTGCTCGGGACTTGGGAGGATAGGTAAGGCAGGGACAAAGAGGGTTCTGCTCTCGGACGTACGTTGTAGTAGCGAATAGGTGGACTCTGCTTCCTTTGCTCAGACCCAGCTTCCGCAGGCCTGAGCCAATCTGGTTGATATAGGTGAGGAGGTCGGCATAGGTCAGGTAAGAATAACGGGACAGCTCAAAGAACTGCCACTCCTTTTCGACCTCTATGACCTCTCCATCGACGTTCTTGGGGACCTTCTTCTTCTCCTTGTGAAGGTGCACAAGCTTCCTGGTTCCAACGGCAGGCTCGTTAGGGTAGACCTGGGCACTCCGCTTGACAATGTCGTAGACGGTGTGGACGTCGGGGTGAGGTTGGGTTCGGAGGCCGTTCTTGGCTTTCCAATGGCGGCGGGGAAGAGTCTCGCCCTCAACGCGCTCGTAGCCAGGCGACTCGACAGAGAAGGGAGGTTTGTGCACCTGATACAAGGGCATCACGCCCGTCGTGTAGTCTGGCATATCGGCGGCGGTTGGGTTCGTAGGGGAGCTGGCGTAGAATAGGGCGGTGAGGAGAGCGACGAAGAGGACGAGGACGGCTGTGATGTTGGACGGAATGATGGCAAAGGTCACGGAAGGAAGCCTAGGGACGATGAACGGACGCAGAGTTGGCGGATGGGCCGAGGGAGGGGAGGGAGCTTTGAGGTAAAGCTCCGGGCTTCTAGGTGAGGTAGGTAAGGTGAATGAGGGCGGTAAGTTTGAAATGTGAGGTGGTCGAAGTCGAAGAGGTTGGCCGAAAGGATTGTAGGGTCGGAGCTTTTTCTCGCAAAGATTTGGTAAAGATGAGGGGGAAATGTGAGACTTTGACAGAGAGGAGGAGCTTCGAAATGCTCTGGCCGTCGGCTAGGTTACGTAGCTGTATCCGTACCTTGGGGAATGGTAGCTGTAGGTGCTGCACACGAGACTCGAGAGCAGTGCGTACCTTAAGTGCGTGAGGAGTGCGAGTGCGGGCAGGAGGCGTAAGAGTTAGGTACGCAGCTCAGCGAAAATGGGCAACGGGACTTTAATTGCGTCACGGTTGAGAGCTGGGGAGCATGGGGCATCCAATGGAATGGGGCCTGGAGCTGATAGACAGGCAGCTGGCAGGGACTACAGGGTAGGGATGTTAGGATGCCGCAGCAGCGCAGGTAGCCCAGGAGGTACTTCGTAGATCCGCCACCGGCCGATACGTGGGCCTCCCGCACACCAAGCAGGGCACGTATCTTTCATGCTGTCCCCAATTCTGAGGTAATTCCCGCTTCTCTCATTGCACATTGCCTGGCATGGAATACTCTCTCTATCACTCTTTCTACTTTTCCTGTTGCTACTATTATTCCTATTATTATTCTTATTATTATTATATCTATATCATACTTCTTTAGACGTATTCTATATAGAATATTTAGAAAACAATACTGATAATAATGATAATAGAAAAGTTAATGATAGGAAGAATAGAAATAGAGCTAGGTACTTCGTGCTGGGCGGCAATCCATTGTGTCACCCACTTGCCTGGGCTGCTGGGCACACCTGTCCCTGGGAGCATGGAATTCTGAGCCACTAGTCAAGCTCCCTGCCAGGCCGGGCTGCATTTGTCTTGGTGGCCGCAGACATGAGAGCTAATTAGAGCTACCTCTGTCGATTATTATCAGCCTCTAGGTTACCTTGCTTGCAACGTACGACGACGACAAGGGGACGGGTCATGGGCAGCCACGACAGCTTGGAATCTTGTTACCAGATCTTGTTCCGGCGATTCCAGAGAGTCTCAACATACGGCCATATGACCTTTTGTTAGTCAGCCTTTGGGCAATGTGGCAAGCTCTGGAAGCTGGAAGAGCTGGAGAGGCATACGTACGCCAGTGGCACAGCATCGCTCTTTCCCCAACCACCACACCTTACATCTGCAACATGCCCATATGGAGAAGGACCCTACTTGCCTCGGCCTCACAAGATTCAACAGCAGCAAAGACCGAGTGAGACGGCAGCTTCTTGTGGACCAGATGCAACCCGCCAGTCGCTGTTCAGTCAGAAGTTTAGAACCATCAACCAGCACCAGGGCCCCAAGCTAAGCAGTTGCTAGCGTGCGGATAAAAAAGAGGGGAGGAAACTGGGCTGCTCCTCCTCGGCTTGGCACGTTCCTGTAACCTTGGGCAAGATGCAAGATGCGAGATCGCTCTTGCCTACTGAACCCAGAAGGTACCTATTACCAATGAAGGATATGACAACTCTTTCTTGCCTATCCCATCTGTACATACTCCAAGTCTGAGTAATAGATATCTGTCCACTCATACGAATACATCTTACGTGTTCTCAACACTTGATCAGTCAGTCTTGGAAACTCTCCAGATGAGCTCCAACCCCGCCCATGCTGATAACTTGGCAACTTGTTCTCTCCAACAATTATCCTCAACGCTCAACAATGCTAGACTCCATCAATGATAACCATGCACTAAAACTGGACAATGAACAAGCACATGACAGACATTTCGGTGTCAGCGGCGGCACACGCTCGAGTCCGAGCAGGGAAGGTCGGAAAATGTCCAAGACCAGAGACTGCAGTCTGCAGAGAACTTCCGATGAAGACGGCGTACCGCCCGAGGAATGGTTTTGGTCCACATCTCGATATCGAAATGGGCTTTTGTTCAATTATATTCTGCAGGCCTTTTGACTCAAAAAAAACCGGGACAGAACCACTCGCGCCACGACGCCGATTCGACGCCTATGAAGAGTACGAATACGTACCCCCGACCGCCACGGAAACACGGCTTCTTTAGTCTCGGAACTCCTCTCGTCAAACCTCGCCTATCTACGCGATTCTGCTGACAACTGACAATCACTGGGTTCTTCATCCGCTCACGTGCAAATTCCAGCCTCAGTTGCTGACACATGCGGCGGGCATGCACCGACAGCCGAGGCCAGAGCGAAGAAAAAGAGGCTCCAGTGGCTCCCTGCCACTGGGACCTGGGTGGCGGGTACCACTGTGCCACTGTCTCTATCCACCAGCGGACCAACCCTGTTTTACTCATACTCTGTACGAAGTACGGACAGCATCTTGAGCATGCCCCCAAACGACAACCCGTTCGTTATCCGAATTCCGTTCACGACAGAGTTCGGTTCATCTCACACATTCGATCCAGCCGCTCGCTGCACCGGGATGGGGGGCCCGAATGGATCTCCGACTAGGAGACGGCTTCTCTCAATGACCGGGGTCTTGATCGGGTCCGTCTGAACGCTCGGCCCGCATCAAGAGAGAGTGTGCAAGATTGGGATGGACGGAGTGTTGCTATAAACTGCTCTTTGACCGGCTGCCACACGATGAACTCTCACCGCGTGCGGTCCGGATCTTGACCTGAGCCGCCTTCGACCGCTTGGTTTGGTTTCTGTGGTTTCCGTGATAATTCTCTTGGCCAACGCAAAGCACGCCGTCGCCATGGTGTGTAGGATGTTTTTTGATGTTTTTCGTCTGCTTCAAGCACCTAGCTGGAACAACAAGCTGAAGACGTTACAAACTCCTGAACCGGGCTTCCATTGTTGGTGGCTCAGTGTGGCCATAGCTTTCTCAATGTTCAAGCGACATTCATGCAGGCTGGCCGTGGACTTTTCTTCATGACGACAATGAAATCTTACTCAGGCGCACGACTCGGGAGGATTGGGCAGGGCGTCAGCACAACACATGTCGGCAGTTTCGTAACGTGGGGATAACCTCAGAAGTGGTGAGATTCGAGCAGCAGGGCAGAGGCGGAAGGATCGCAGACAAGAAGCGGCCAGCTTTGCCAACCTCGAAATAGGTGTGTGTGGGTTGGGTAGGACGTGAGAAAAAGCAACCACAGCCAGAGAGGTCCAGACACCATAATGCCTCCCAATATACCAGCCTGTGCCTGCCTCCCTCACGCACGTGTGCTGCATCGTCAGCTTTGATAAACATGCCTCCCCAGCGTCGGGCCCGTCGTTGTGCTAGCGGGATCTACGCTGGTCTAACGGCTTACACTTTGGAACTAAAACAGCACCGCTCGGCACTCCCTCGTACCACAGGGCCGTGTGTTTAGCCTCATCCTCTACAGACAGGAACGCCGCACTCATGTAAACATGCAGCAATCTAGCGGCCCTGCCGTGGGTGCAAGCAAGCAAGTAAGCCAGATGGTGTCCTCTGCTGCAACTAACGGCCATCGCAGTTCTAGAATGGACTTCCCCCATCGGACTGTAACCTCCACCATCATGTCTCTCCCGTTCCTCGCGCGGCCAATCAGCTAACACCAGCGGCAGGGCCGCTCGACCTCCGACCTTGCTGCACAGTTCTCGAAATATACTCGTCGTCACCAGTGTCACAACAATGAAACGCCCCTTTTGCAAGCCCCGAGCGTGCGCCTACACAACGTGCCCCAAGAGCCACAACACAAGCACAGAGACGCCCAAGGGAGGCCTGGGTCCTGTCGCCTGGCGGAGACTCTGGAAGGAGGCGGGGAGGCGCAACTCCGAGACGTGTTGTCGGCACGGCATTGATGATATTAAGATAGAGTTATGTCGCAGCTGTTTCCCTCTCCCTTTCGAGATGAACTCCTGTCCTGTTTCCCGCCGATCTAGAGCTGCTGACTGGCTCCCAACATAGCCCCCTGCTTCCTCTCTCGCGGTAGCTAGCCATCATGTCGCGATTGTGTGGTATGCGCCCTGAAGGGCTGGTGAGTTGCTCCCATTTCCCTGGCCTTGGCCAGTATCCCGCGACGTTACAGCTAATGCTCCGCCCAGACGGTGGATTCGAGGTTCAGCCCTCTTCCGTCGATGTGTTTCTTCGATACCATCATCATTCCTTTACCGGCATGGATTCGTCTTACAGTCACTTTCGCCCTTTTCCACTTCATCGTGCCGGTCCTCATCGTCGACAAGATCAAGCGGTATACCGTTAAGAAGGAATGGCAGAGGCACGCTCAACTATCCGTCTACTTCTTCTCCATACTCGTCGTCTTCCTGATGGAGATTATGGAAATTGCCAGACTCGCAGAGATTCGCTATGCCATTGGCCTTCTTCCCTTCGTCTTCGCAGGCTGCGGTGTATGCGCAGTCATGCAGGCCACCCGCGGCATCAAGGGCAAGATTCGCAACTGGCAGGTGGCCAACATCATCTTCTGGCTCATGAGCATCGCCGTCACCATTATCAAGATCCTCACGATTCAGCGCTCCAGCATGCGATTCCCAGAGTTCCGCCGAATGGGAACTGACTATCCGACGACCCACCAGGTGCAGGACTTGGCCGTCATTGCCGGATTTTACGTCCTCCTCTTGGCCAACGAGATTGCGCTCTTCTTCCAGAAGACTTGGGAAGAGACTGTCGACGCTGAGAACATCAAGAAGCTCCGCCTCACCAGGTCGATCAGCGACCAGGCCCGCTACGATCTCACCCGGGCTATCGAGGAGGGCTACTACCCCTCGGGCGTTACGTACCTGACGCTGAGACTCGAGGGCGAATCCCAGAGCGAGAAGGCCGTTAGCAAGGACGACATCCTCAAGAAGACGGCCAGCATGGACGCCTCCATCGCAGGCTCGTCTTCCAGCGAGAAGACGGCTGGCAAGAGGCTCATGGATGAGGATTCCATCGAACCAGTGCCCATGATACCCCCTAGCTTCAGACGCAACAGCGAGCGGTGGTCGTCGGCTGTGACCCTCAAGGACGCTGCCGGAGACGATATGAACGAGAAGGTCGGTGGCAAGGAGAACAACAAGAAGCGTGGCAGCGAGAGGTGGTCAAATGCCATGACGATCAAGGAACCCACGGCTCTTCGTGACGGTCATGATAAGCGCGTGTCAAGCTTCGCCTCCCCGATGGTCGCCGACATTGACGAGATCACACCCTTGGACCCTCCCTCCACCTCATCATCCAGATACGAAGATGAGCATGCGGCGCAGAAAGCCATGCTCCTTGACAGCCCCTTCCCAATGAAGGAACTTCCCGACAGGCGCTCCTTTATGCTCAAGCCCTCGCGCCCCAACACCGAGAGATGGTCCAACGCCATGACTCTGCGCGGCGAGCCGTCGTCCGGCAGCGGCAGCCAGGAGCCCTCGCCCAAGGAGCACAAGGAGTACATGCCCGCGGCACCCCCGGCCGCGGCGACGGCCCCGACCACGCCGGAGCGCAAGGTCTCGGCCAGCGAGCGGAACATGATGAGGAGATACTCTGACGCCTCCACGCGGTCCATCAGGAGGTTCTCTGCACGCAGCGACCTCCGCGAGGCGGCGGCCACGGCGGCGGCGTTTGTGGATGGCGATGAGCCGCTCACCTCGCCCACGGAAGCGCATCCTCTGCAGCCGAATCACCACACGCCATAAATGATCACCGCGATGACACCACTACGAATTCTCTTACCACCTTTACGCAAACTGTGTATCCCATCATCTTCGAATGCTTGATATGAGGGAGGCTAGTGTATAATGAAAAAATATGTAAATCCAACCACAAGATAGGTACCGGGTAAAGGCGTCAATCGATTGGGATTTTAGAGCGGCCGCCGGTCAGGGAGGCGTTTGGGATCGGGGTTTTCTCGTCTTCTTCGCTTGTAGGTATCCCCCCCTTTTTCACTCAACTTTCCTTTTTTTCTCCCATGTAAAACCACACACACTATTTAATGAGATGTTGGGACAAAGTTTCAAAAGAATATTTCTTCTTTTTTTTTTCTTTTTCGCAATATAGATCGATTAGGAAATAAAGGGGAAATGCTGGATGATGAGTGGCTTATGTTTTCAATATTGTGACGTGCTTGACTTGTGCGATGCCACGGTACACCACGGACGTCAATCGATGTTTTCCCCCCGGCGCTAAAAAATTGCTGGTCGGTGTGAGGCTCCTTTTTCTGAATTTCGGTGTAAGATTAAACGACCCTGCACTAAAGTAGGTATGTTCGGGACGACGGCAGGACGGGTGGGCGTAGCGGGTAAATTAGGTAGCGAAGTGAGCGTGGCTTGTGTGGCTTATATGGCTTTGCTTTGACTGATGGGTTTATTTTTGGGTAGGGACGCTATGGTATTCGTACTGGGAAGATGAACGCGTTGGTCTTTGGGTGTATGGAACATTGCACAACTAGGACTCTGGCGTGTGTTTAGTTAGAGCTTGGCTTTGTACGGATGTCGCTTATATACGTTGCTTTGAAAATTCTCAGTATTGTCGAATTGTACCTCGTCCAACATGTGAAGAACCTATGGGTAGTTATCCAGAAACCAACCCGTGGGGGCCCAAACCGTCCTTGGAGATACAAATTCTTGGGTACCCAAAATACCCATGGGGATTTAAACTGTCCGCGGGGACCTGAGCTGCTTAATAGGTGATCCTGACGCAGCGATATCCTAGTTTAGGTATCTAAGTGCACGAGTTTTTTTTTGTTTCTGCCCTTCTTTTCCTTCTCACACAGGAAACCAACTGGGCATTTCCTTGCATTCACTCAGACTCATCGCGCAGCATACTGAGGAACAGCAGGTAACTTTAATCCAGATTTTTATTCCGTTGATGGCGGTGTATATATCACTTTGTTCACGTATAACTACATCTCCCTACTAGCCCATACACATGGAAGACAGGCGACCTATATCTCGGGATACTAAGATATAATTGCCGCCTTGGTTCCTTTTTCGCTCTTTTCTACCACTCAAGTGGCTCTGCTTCCCGGGAATCGCCAAACCATTCAGCACTAAGGGCGCTTAGTTGGTCCCTGAAGTGTTGGTAAGACCCCCCCTCTGTTGCTGTTGCTGGAGAATCACGCCCAGACTTCTAGTCCCGGGGCGCACGCGAGCTAAGTCCCTCTCTCACAGCCTCAAGGATCAAGTCCTTGGCCTTCTCAACGCCGTCGGCGTTGCCGATGACTTCAATGGCATCCTCCTTAGCATCGTTACGGGGAACGTTGATCTTGCAACCACTCTGCTTGCGGATGGAGTTGACCTTGCTGCCACCCTGGCCGATGACATAGCGGTAGGTCTTGGGGTCGGGCAGGACCAGGTAACCCGTGTGGGTGTTCTTCTTTGCCTGTTCAATGGCAGAGGCGATCGCAGCCTTGGCCTTCTCGAGGTTCTCGGGAGAGCCACGAAGGACCCAGGCAATCTCGCCATCCTCGCCAGCAGCGCTGTCCACAACCTTCCAGGAGTGGGCGTCAGCGGTGGCATCCTCGTCATCGGTGATCAAGGGCAAAGCACCACCGTTGCTGCGGCTGGCGGCAGCGCTGGGCTTAGGAGGAAGAGCCTGTCCAGCGTGGTCGACCGAAACCTGGTGGTTGTTGCGGAGCTGGCGGAAGAACTGGCCGTTGTTGGAAATGGAGTGGTGAAGGCTGCGCGGCACCTGGAGGGTCTCTCCCTCCTGCTCCTTGACGAGCGAGGCGATATGCTCCTTGGCCTTCTCAACGTTCTCGGGACGACCAGTGATCTTGACACCAGTCTTGCCGTCGCCCTGGCGGGGAATGTCAATGGAGACGGTGAACTGGGACTCAAGCTGACGCTTAGCGTCTCCGCCACGGCCGATCAGGGTTCTGTGCTTCTCGATAGGAACTTCGAGAATCTCAGTAACCTGGCTCTCCTTCTCTGCGACGATCTCCTGAATCTGTGCAACGATCTTGTTGACGATGTCGGAGCGGCCCTCAACCTTGATGGTGTTGCCATCAGCCTCCTGCTTGGGGAACTGGATGGTGCGCGCAAGCTCGCGGCGGTCGTCAGAACCACCAGCCTTGACAACGAGGTCGCGGAGGTTGGCGCCTAAGTAGTGTTAGTTGAAGCTACAGAATCCAAGTGGCATAAGTGATCTTACCTCCAGAACCAATGAGAGACTTGTGGTGCTTCTTATCCACTTCGATAGTCTGCACAACGGTGTCGTTGAAAACGTCTCGCTTCTCTTCAAGAGCCTTCTTGGCAGCAGCAACCTGGGGCTTGGTACCCTTGATCAAAATCTCCACGGTCTCGGCGTCGCGAGCACTGGGGATATCAATCTTGGCACCAGTTGCTACGCGGAGCTCCTCCAAGGCAGCACCACCCTGTCCGATAATGGATGGGACTTGCTTCTGCTGGACGGACACAGTCGCGGTGAAGGAAGTGTCCTTGAGGTACTGGAGGAGAGAGAGAATCTCGTCGCGGGCCTCATCCGCTCCCTTCTTGGGACCACGGACAATAACCTCGTCGGGCTCCTGCTGACGCTTAGGCTTGCCAGCATCGCTGCTGGCGTCGGCGTTTTCCTCGTCCTTCGCGTTCTTGCCGGATCGGGGGAAGAAGATCAAGACCTTGTACTTGCTTTGCAGGCGGTTCGTGACGCTGCCGCCCGCACCAATAAGCTCGCGGTGGAACTTGGGATCGACCTTGAGGACGTGAGTGACCTCGTCAGCCAGGGTGCGACCCAGGGAGCTGATGTGAGCCTTAGCGGCCTCGGCCTTGGCCTTGGGGCCCTTCAGCTCGACCTGACCATCCTGGACCTGGATCTCGACGTCAAAACGATCACGGAGCTCCTTGATGTTGGAGCCGCCCTTGCCGATAAGGTGGTTGGCGTACTTCTGGGAGAAGTCGAAAGACATGGTGTAACCACGTTCCTTCTCATCCTCCTTCTCTTGCTCGACAAAGGCAATGACCTTGGCCTCGAGGTTCTTGACAGCGGAAGCAGGACCACGCAGGTTGACAACAGTGCCAACCGAAGAAACGCGAATGGGGATCTGGTCGTTGGCACGGTTGGCCTGCTCCTTCTTGATGAAGCGACGGAGGCGCTCGTGGAACCTGTAGAATGCAATTAGTGTCACAAGCTTGTGCGAATGGGCACGACACAACTCACTTCTGGGGCACATCAACCGAGGCTGATGCGATCTGCTCTTGCTTGTTAATGATATCCAAAATCTGCTTGCGAGCCTCCTCCAGGCCCTTCTGGAAGGCCTGGATCTCATCCTGAGAGGGACGACCGGTCTTGATCTCAGGCTTGGGCTCGGAGGCAGAGGGTCCCTCGAAGACCAAAAGGACAGGAGCCTCGGGCTCGCCAGATTCAGGGAGGATGACGTGAACGCCATGGCTGTTAATCATACGAGGGCTGACGTCCTTAACCAGGTAGTTGTGGTAGAAAGGGTCGACAGGAATCGGGGCGATTCTGGCAGGAGGAATGGCATGGACAAGCTTCTCAATTGCCGATTGAGCCTGGAGAACGCTCTTGCCGTCACGCGCGTACAGCTCATAGGGCGAGGCGCCAGCAGAGGTGAACGGGGTGTTGATGTGAGTGTTGTGAGCACTCTCAATGTTGTCGAAGAGATCGCGGTGACGCAGGTAACGAGTGACGTTGCGAGCGTGCGTGTTGACACCTCCAGGAGCGTTCTTGTGGAATCTGCCGATGTCGAAAGTGGAGAATTGCATGTTCATGGCTCTGTCCATAGCAGTCTCGACACCCTTAGTGAGCTGAGCTGCAGGACCAATGACAGTGACAGAGTCGTCATCCTCATCAGTCGGCAAAAGGATGGTGCAACCAGTCTGGTTGAAGAAATCGTCAAGGGTCTCGCCGCGGCGGCCGGCGATGAACTGGTGACGACCCTTCTGCAGACTGAACTGGTCGATAGCAAGCTGGTTCTGGAGCTCCTGAACACGGCGCTCGATCTCGGCGCGCGCAGCCTGGACGGCAGCGCGGTCACCCTGAAGCTGAATGTGGTTGTCGGCGGCAGGAGTGAAGACGGGGCGCTCACCCTCGTTCGCAACGAGATTGCGGCCACGAGGAGCCCAGATCTGGTGGGCAGGAACGCGGACCGTGACACCGTTGTTCTCGTAACGACCGATGTGGCTGTTTCCAGGGCCCGCAATGAAGGGGTAGAACTCAGCCGGAATACCCTTAAGCTTGCTGTTGAGGTTGGCGGTGCGGTCGCCAGCAATTCTCAGGATCTCGTTACGAGCAGAAGCGGCGGACAAAGCGTTGCCCTCAACGAGGACGTCAATGGTGGAGTCATCATCCTCGTCGATGGGAGCACTGCCCTCCTCCGCCTTAGGGAGTTGGACTCGGGCGCCAGACTTCTCCTGGATAGACTTGATAACAGAGCCACCCTTTCCAATGATGTGGGCACGAGCAGATTGGGGGATCGGGACCTTGATGGTAGTCTGAAAAATGGGATGTCAGCAAGGGTGTGTGGTGGATAAAGAATTGGCCGCCTACCTTGGTGCCAATTTGCTGGACGAGATCCTTGAGGGCCTGCTGAGCAATGTCCTGGGGACCCGTGGCTTCGAACCTCAATTTTCCGTTGGATCCGTTTGACAAGGTGATGTTGGCGCGCGACTTGCGGTTGATGTCCTTCATGATATCCGGAATGGGGCGCTTGAGCTGGTTGCGCGGGAGGATGAACTGGGGCTCCAGCACAACTGTCTCAACGTTGCGACCAGGGATCGACATCTTGGGGGTAGCAACTCCCGAAGCGGGAGTCGAGGAGCGGGAAACACCGTTGGCGGGGGTAGAGGCGCTGCTCTTGGCTCCCCAGATGGGGGTGACGTTGGGGCCAGTGCCCTTGCCCTTGGAGGTTCCAAGCTCGGGGAATAGCTCATGGGAGTGGGTATCGATCTTCTTTCCAGAGGCCGAGGCTTCCTTCTGCTTGTTCGCAGCTCTGCTGGAGCTGGGCTCGGCCCAGGAAGGAGCGTCGCCGGACTTCACGGGGAGATCCTCATCGGGGACGTCCTCGACAGTGGGGTGCAGGTCGGCATGGGTTTGGAGGAGGCGCTGGGCAGCTGAGGTCTCAGCGCCGTTGGCAACAGTGGAATC